ACATACAAGCAAGTCAATTTTGTCCTTTAGATACCCTTGAGGAAGAGTAATTTTCCTTCAAAATTTCTTCCACCTTTAGAGACAGAACAGCACTTTGGACCTAAATAACGCCACCTACATCAACACCACACCCTTGACAATCATCTGTGAGACAACTGATGTGAACAAAACAGTCTTTTATAGAAGGTAAAATTAAGTTATATCCTTAACCCTAAGTATCTGCAGAGAAAGCTGTCAAACTTTACTAGGGTACATAAAGGCCTAATTTCAGGAACAGCTGTACTAGCACTCCAAACTGTTCATTTCCACCCTCAGTTAGTTCACTAAGAGTCCAGTTTGCTTAGTTCTGTAGTCAGTATTACCATTTTCCAGGCCTAGTGTCACTGAAATCACAGCTAAGAAGTAAGTTAGGATTTGCCACGCATGAAGACTGTTGGACATAGGCTGCAACAGGTTAAGAAGTTTCTGTCTCCAGCTGTCACTGCTTTTGGGTCACATGTGACTGAATCAACAGTTCAGCCTAAAGATAATGCTTTAACTCCCACCCTCAAATGAACTATCCCCCATAAAGTATAGCAGTATTAAACATGAACTACATAAAATAAAAAACAATTAACTCTATGCTAACTATTGTGATAGAACCCTAAATCAATGAGGTAGCTCTGCCTAGATCTTCCCTTTAATGAGCTCCCTGAAGAAATAACCAAGGTTTTTAAATTAAAAAGAAGATTATACTAGAGTAACATCCAGAATACCTAATTTTAAGTAGAGAAAATGTATATTGATTATGCCAGAACAAAATGCAAAAAAGATTTTTTTTATACAACTTTCCTTATGCCCAATGTGCCATTAAAGCTGGTAACCATCCCCCAGGCTTTGTTTTAGGTAATTGAGTGACTTCCTGGGTTGCAGTAAACTTTACGCAGTGCCTGACAGACCCTAGGAAGGTTCTCTCCTATCACCTTTAAAGTCTGGCTCTCTGCTTTTTCAGGCATCTTCACTCTGCTCATCTCTAGGCTGCCATCCAAACACTCGGACCCTAACGTCTGCCTCCAATACCCTCTTGCCCCCCCCAGACAAGACTCTGCTTTTCAGGAAAAGGCTAATTTTTCCTCCTTTTAGGAGAGTCCTAGCACTCAACTCACATTATTTAAAGAAATATTGCATAAAATCAGGAACAAACAAATCAGGCATGCTTTTTACAATGCCAAGGCAAGGGTAAAAATGTAGGAGAGACTTGCCCATTACAACTGGAATGCTGATGTCAAAAAGAAAAAAAAAAAGCAAATACTTTGATGCAAATGGGACTGTGAGCATATCATAGGCTAAAGTTCAAGTTTATCATGTAGGCCTGAGAGATTGCATGTTCGGTTTGTTTTCATGTTATATTCAGGAGAATAGCATTGAACTTAAACTGCTCTTACATTTCACTTGAACAGCTGAAGGTAGAAATAAAAACTAACCTAACTTTTCATAATAGATGCTATAAACAAGGCTATAAAAGTCAGAAAAGAGTTACACTGGAATTGAAATATCAATAACAGGAAATACTAATCTCAAAGAAAAGAATTCTCTTCCTGTGCCTAAGACTCCTGCATGACATAACTCTGAGAAAAACAAGAAGGATGAAAAGACCAGGGCTGAAAGAGTCACTTCTCTCATAAACTGGAGGATTCTCAGATTCCTGGAGAAACAGCAGAACAATTCCCAGTTTCCAGACCAGAACTGAAAGTTGTCATATATGAAAAGGTAAACCTTCATAGCAGTAGCAGATTTTCCTGTTAGTGCTAACAGAGTAAATTACAATTCTTTTTGTTCTTGATTTTTTGCTTTGCCCTCTAAATACTCTCTTCCTGCTCCCCACCAGTTCTTAAGCTGCCCCACAGTCATGATGACTTGCTTTTTGCTGTGAGCAAATCAGAATTAGTGTGGTAAGAAAAAGGACTGTTACTTCTTCTGGTTCATTTAGTTGAGCTGAGATTGTTTTTCAAATAATTTGACTTTGATAAATACTGTGGACTCGAAACTACAAAATAGTTTAGTAAAGACAGAACCCCCCCCCCCTCCTGCCCTTTCTGAAGGAAGAGGTTAAACCCTGTGTTCCTATTCTGCTAGGGCTTTGATGAAAAGGGAAGGAAATAGTCTGAGCAAACCAGAGCTAGAAACTCCTCTTATCCTCTTAACAAGGACTCCCCTGAATGGCTTATGACACCAAAATCACTGCATATTTATACTTAAATAAACTGTAGGTGATGGTAAAGCAGTTTTCTAATACTTTGAAAATGTAAAGGTTTAGACTATTCTTACTGGCCAAAATGTCTTATCCTAAGCAGACCAATTTAACAGTTTCACTGAAACTATTTATAGTCAAATTATTTGACAGATCCACTTTTTCTTGAATTATATGGATTTTGAAAATTAACATTTTGAACAGAATAAATTGGTTTTAGATATTGAATAATTACAATTCGACAGACTGAAATAGTGCTGAATCCTATTAACAAAGTGACTTTCCATACCATTCATTTAAAATAGTTTGAGGTGATCAAAACAAACTTATCAAAAGATAAGCTTTGTCAAAAGCAGTATCTTGAAATCTTGTTTTATATAAGCATTAAAAGTTCACCTTTTTGCCTGACACATGATGATTTATCGGAATCTTTAGCACACTATCTTAGCTAAATTTTGACATTTTCATGAGATGGAAAATTTGTTTCTGCTTTTGACAAGCTCTAATCCTCACACTATTAAAATAGCAATAACATAATCTTGCAGTAAATATTGACAGAAGCAATAGGTGAAATTTCAGTAGTTGAAATCAGGTGTTTCACCAAAAAGGAAGAAGAATCTTTTCCTGAATGGTTATTCGTTAAGCCATCAAATTATTCAAGGCAAAGCTAAAAATGTCTGAAAAAAATTGCACCTTTCTATTTAACAGCTTAAATACTAAATATAGTCTGTGGTCTAAATTTATTATGAGCCTATATGAGAAGTTTTACCTTAATTCTTCCTTTTAACAATCTGAGATAGAGAGACAAAGATGAGAAGGAAGCAAGATCATTGTTATTGTATTCAGCTGCCTTAAAGGTAGATGAACTCACAGATGCAGCACTGTGGCAAAACTAGCACAGCTTTTGCTCATACAGTGTATGGATAAAGTTACTACTCCACAGTTCTCAAAACTTGGCACCTGCATGATGATTAACATGAGATTCAGGTGAGGGCTGAGGGGAGTGGATTCCCACCAATACTGAGAATTTTAGGGGACCCCCCCCAAGGACTGCTATTAGAGAGTGGTAAAAACACAATGTATGAAGGAAAGAAGTTAAGGGGCAGAAGTAATACAAATAATGCACAAAAATATTCACGTAGACCTATGCAGAAAAACCTGGAAATAAACATGAAGTAAGGGATTAAAATAAAATTTCTTTAGGACTGCTATTGAGAAATGCTGATTTTTCAGAAGGCAATGCTCAACGATTATTCACAGTTCCTATGGCATTTGCTCACGTCTGCAAAGAACTGAAGTTACTCCATTAATGAATTACATCTGCATTTATTAACTCTGGAACTTAGATTTAAAAATACTGCACCAAAAGTACACAAGAAAAAAACCCAGATCAAACTAGAAGAAAATTCATGTAAATCAAATTGGTTTCTGTCAACTATTCATCCCAATAAACTACTGGCTAAACTGAATTTCTGGTTTCTGAAGAGTTTGATAGGTATTTCACTATGTATTTTTAGCTAAAAAAAGGAGTAACATTCCCTTAGAATATTAACGCCTTAGAGTGAAATTAAATGTATTCTGTTTTGTATTTAACATCAGTGAAAAATTCCAGTACATCTAAAGATCATCTTATAGATGTGAAAGCCCACACCTGCAAATACCAGTTAGACAAGAATCAGTCTCTACTTTTACAAATATATGGCATTAGCGTCATGCTGATTAGCTAACTATTGTAATACCTACCTCAGTGATCAATATTTAAAACTTATCAAATCTTGTTTTTAGCATTAGTGTAGCTTTATTCGGCATGTTGGCATCAAAGTAAAGATTGGATCTTTACTCCAAGGTGTTCATAATCTAACAGCTGGATTTGCTTCTAATACTATTTACGCTGAACAGCTCTGCCATGCGTAAGATGTCCAAATTTTGCAGATAACATATTGTAAATGAGTAGATATAAAACTGGCAAACAAGGTAATAATGGAGAAAGCGAGCCAACATTAAAGAATGAGGAAGAAACACAATCTGTGTTAAAGCATTTTTTCCTAATTATACAGTTTGTGTCACTTCATACTTTGTCTTAATTGAAAACAAGACACAGTGCAAATCAACATGGAAGGGTAATGGAGACAATTTCACCAGAGCATGTGAGCAGAAAAAAAGGACTGCTTCAGGTGTAAGGCAGAGAACAGAAAAAGAAACAGTGGCATAAGGACCAGAAGAAAGAATGAGAAGAACAGGATTATAAAGGGTAAAAAACAGGAAAAACTAATATTTAAGCAAAGGCCCATACAAGTATGGCTCTGGGGTTGTGACTTATATTTTACTCTCACTTTACATCTGGTCTATAACAGGGTGAATTGATTAAATTAGTGGAATTACTGGTGATATACATCCCACGTGAAGAGCACAGGATCAGGCCATGAGTTGTGAAAGAAATTTGAGGCAGAGTAATATTTAGATAGTTTGCTGAAAGCTGGAGAACAAGGGAAACAATTAAAAGAAGTGAAGACAGAAGGTAAAGTTGACAATTTTTCACATTGAATAAACAAACTGTAGTCAACACTTCTTTAGATGATGGAAATGCAAAGCCTGTTAATGTCTCATCCGTTTTATCCTTGGACTTTATTCAATATTAACTCTGGATTTACTTCTGATTTTATACCATCAACCTTTTAGTAATTTATTTACTATGCAATCAGCAAGACAAATAAGATTCTTTTTGGTTTGAATTCATAATTCTACTGTCGACTATTTGGTGTCATACTACCTTGCCAACAAGCACCAACTGTCAGCTGCATGGCTATATGTGAAGGGTGGATAGGCCAATCATTGGTCACAAGGTAAGGTTCATATGTTGTTCCATCCATGTATAAGGTAACAACGGGAAACTCAACATTGACAACGTAGTAATGCCATTCTTTATCACAAATCTGAAAGACAGAATGCAAGAGAAAAATATTAATTAGCCCTTATTGTCAGGTGACTATTTTTTATATCCCATACATTTTTTAAATTGTATTGTTTCCAAATTCCACTAATTGAAAAAAATAACATTATTGCAATTTATACATCATTAAAATTAATGAAAGTTGAAACAATGTTGATAAATACTTATGCTATACTTGCAGAATATATTTGATAAACAGAGGCATCTTAAAACACACTCCTTGAAAACAAGACACGGATAAAATCGAAAAATCAGACAATTTGGTATGGCTCTGTATTTTCACATTTGTTAATACATAATATTAGTTTCTTAATGTTTATATTGACTTTTGAGAATTACAAAACTGTATGTAAGAGATGCATACTTGGGATCTATCGACATAGTTACTGGAGATCCCTATTAGCTTCAAATTAAGAAAATATATAACATTTAGTCTGTAGATTGATGAGTTATTATCAGTGATTTGATTCAATTGCCATTATTAACTTATTGCATTAGTACTTAGAAAAAGTACTATGCAATGCATCAGGACCTCCATAGTGCTAGAAGAACCTCTGTTGTGCTCTGTATACACACAGATGGACAAGTGGTCTATTTGTCTACCTGATTTGGGCAGGAAAATCAAATCTCCATGCTTCATGTTTTGGTCTTGAGCTTTTTCCCAGACAGTTGGCAGAATGAAGATCTATATGGTTTCGCTGATATACATCAGCTTTGAAAAGCAATGGCCACAGTTACAACATACTTTCAAGATGACAGTATTAGTGTCAAATCTCATGAATTTCTGCACTGGACAACCAGGGATTACTGCAAGATGGTCAAATTCGGTTTTAGTTCAGAAATGTACAGCTGGAAGTCTAGTGTGTAAATATCAATGCCTACCCAATTCTTTTTTCCTTTGTTGTATCTTTCATATTTAAAAGTTCAAAGGAATAAATCACAGCAAATTGGTAGGATGGGTGGGCTGTTTTTAAAAATAAAGCAATAGTTACAATCACGCTACTTTCAATTCTGTAGAGATTCTTGTTTTGATGTATTAAGAAATGAAAGTGCTTGAATGCAGATATCCTTGCTGATTCATAGAGGGAAGTGGGAAAGTGATATTTAAACATAACATTTTGTCCTTGGCCAGGTTAAGTGCTATCTGCTGCAATATCTGCCCTTTGAAAGCAAAAGCTAATGTTTTGTTCCAGAAGACATTTCAACAAGAACTTAATAGCTTCTATTTCAAATGGATACATTTATTACTGCAGACATCATAGCTCCACAGCAAGAGATAAATGCAGCAAAGGGCTGCTAGAGCCTTCCTTTTGTAAGCAGTAGACAGCACAAATGTTTTCTGAAGGTTAAATGAACTGAAACCAAAATTGAAAGTAAATAAATTGGAAGACTGAAAACTTTATTGAACAAACAGGAATCACGAATAGTATTATGCAGTCCTCCCTTTCAAGGAAAAACAGTTTGCCAAGTTTCCTGACCTGATCATTAGAATGTGATGCATCACGGCCGCATGTGTCAGACATTTTATATACAATAAAATGAATGAAGTGCCTGAGTTTGAGAGACCTTGCATGACAAAAACTACAGGCGTTAATACTTGACACTTTTCAGAGAACTGTTCCAGAGTATTTCTGTTTTGCAACCCTAAACTGCATCACTTGGGATGCCCCAAATGCTATTAAATGAGTGAGCAATCCTCCTCATATTTAATCAAAGCAAGAGCACTTTAAGATAGCAAACCCAAACATTTTGGGACATCATATACACAAAGAGCATGTTAACACATAGCTAGTCTCAGTTACTCTATTGACTAGTAGGGCAGTTATATTTTTCAAAGAAAATAATTTCTGGAAAAGCAAGATTACATAAGTTCCACAATTCAGACTCCAGCAGGTGGATTCCAGTGCTTCCAAGAAAAAACGCAGATGTCCAACTGCAGATGTCCACACTAGACAAAGTACTTCCTAACCCTTATTTTTTCTGATACATTCTGGAACATAAGATAGTGCAAGTGTAGACAGCTTGGTGAAGTCCTCAAACCATCACTTGCATGCTTTTCCTTAAATTTCAACACATAAACACATCAAGTTTTACTTTAAATGGAATTTAGGCACTTAAAATCCTAGCTTGGTACTTCCTGAGATTTCAAAAGCACCTGAGTTAGTCAGGTGCTTAATTGTCATATGATTTCAGTAAAATTTAGGTACACAGACACATGTATAATCCACCAAAAGATCTTTAAGTATCTGTGCTGGATCCCAGTACAAATATTCTATAAGGAAGCAATAAAATTATTTAAAAACTCCGGAATACATCCCAGTCACTCAGCAGCAGGCAGTATTTCATGCCTGGCTATTTCACAGGCAGCAAAATAATGAAATAAATAATTGTGGAGTGTAATTTGTTATGCTGTCATTTTAGACACCTTCTTCACCTTCTTAACATAGGAAGCCAATTTCTTCCCTGCATGCATTCCACAGTGGCAATAGAATGTGTAATGTGATTGCAGTGAAGCCATGAAAATGAAATGATAAAATATACTATTCTGGCAAATAAAGAAATTTTCATCATCTCAAGTAAGAACTTTATTTAAAAAAAATCTAACGTATAAAGTTATCCTAATGGGATAAAATTACAGATGAGTAAGCTTGGCTTTCAAAGATTGCTGGATGGCTAGGACAGTCTAATCACTCTATCATGTCAGTCTGCCTCTAAAACATATTAATCATATCACAGTGAATTAACCAGCTTGAAGTCTTAGTGCTGATTACAAGCCATTGCATTGGAATATGCTTTTATGAAATAGATGAAAACAGACTCAATATAAATCTGATGAAGTGAGTTTCCCAAAACATTAAAGCTATTAGCATCTTCTGATGAAGAATGTCAGATATTTTTCTGTTTTATATTGGAATGTTTAGGAACAAACTGAAATCAAAGCACTTTGGTTTGAGAAGCACATGGTGCTTAGAAACAAACTTTGTTGGTCTGCAAAATGTCTCTTTTTATGGCTTGGTACATGAGGGCTAGGCATGCACACATGAGAACATGCACTTCACAGTTTACAGCTTTTTTAGCCTCACTTAGGTCAGCTGTGGCATACTCATGCAAAACAGATCATTCACCTGTTTGGCTAGATACACAAAACTTGTACTTTGAGCAGTGTCCCAGTGCCTCAGTTCAGTACTGAAGAGCCATGCATATTCACAACCCTGTAACTAGCTTCTGGAAAATCCCTTAAGTAATGTTCAGCAGACCACTGAGTTTGACCACGCAAACAGCTCTGCACATCCTGTACTTTGAGACTATTATCCCTTTAGAGCTGCTTTAGAAAGCAAATATTGCTTCCATCTTTCTGGTTCGTGAGACTTTGCTGAGGAAGTGTTCTCAGAATACACTCAAACATCCACAAAAAAGCAGTAAGAAGAAGAAAAGGCAGGCAAGGAAAGCTCTCTTCTTACTATTAACAGCACTATTTAGTACAGGTATGAGACACAAAGTCCTTCTTTCTGCCTAAGTGGTCTGAACTGTTATTTTCTACAGGTTGTTTGAAGAAAGCACCTTGATCCAGCTCTAAAAAACAGAGCATGCCACTCTATTCACTTCCTGACACCTTTCTTAGTGTCTTAACATGCTCTGAACCTCTCAATGCAACACCCCTCTCCCCCAGCGTTCATTAGACCACATCTAAAATATCGTGCCTAGTTTTGGACCCCTGAATACAATAAATACTTCGATAAACTGGAATTAATTCAGTGGAGGACCAACAAAATGGCCAGCTCTTGCCATGTGAGAAGAGACTGAGGGAACTGGGCTTGTTTAGCCCGGAGTGGGGCAGCATTAGGAGGACAGTAAGAGTAGCCTTCCAGTGCCTAGGGAAAAGATACCAGGAAGACAGAGACAGGCTTTTCAAAGTGGTACATGCTATGGCAAAGAGACAATGGATATATGGTGAAACAAGACAGGTTCAGACTGGATATAAAGTAAGCCTTCATTTCACTGTGTGGACAGTCACACAGTAGAGCAGGCTGCCCAGAGAGGTTGTGCCTTCATCCTTGGACATTTTTAAAGACCTGTCTGGATAAAGGCCTGAGCAACCTGGTCCAAGCTCATAGCTGCCCCTGCTCTGAGGATATGGTTGGCCCAGAGGCCTCCTGAGGTCTCTTCCCAGCTAAATTATAATTCTGATTTCATAAACACCATTGCACTGAAGGTGACAGAAGGGAAACGGCGTCCCTCTGATGTGGCATTCTTCTTAAAGATGGGAAATGTCCAAATCCTCTTAGCCACAGGAATTACAATTCAGGTTTGCTATCTTAAAGGTGACTGCTGTAACCACCAGGCTATGAGGTACAGCAGCAGCACTACCACCATCTTCCTCTGGCCTCATTTTGAAAAAGACAAACCCCTCCAAAGTTCTTGAAAGGTGCATAAGATGTCTCCATGCTCTGATATGTGATGACTTTCTTACATAGACAACTCCTAGTATGACATATTTGGGGGAGGTTATGTGGACATTGTTTCTACAATGCACGTTCCACCATGTTTTGAAAAACTGGATGTCATTTGTCATTGACGCTAGCAACACAGATATTTATGAATCAGATCCTTTTTAAAGGATGACAAATGTATAAGGCTTTATTTTAAGTTTGTACTCCTTTCACATGACGATTAGAATACGTTCTATATTTATATCAGCTGTGATGAGAATTAAATGTCTAGGGAGTCTAGATAATAAAATCTGTGCATTCATTTCAGAATCACAACTACTGGCTACTCCAGTGGACTGCACAAAGTGCACTTATTCTAGTGTGGAGCTGTTTGTAACTACATAACATGAATGCAAGTCCTCTTCCAAATCAGCTTCATGCTTTTGGAGAAGTTATACCTTGGTGGAGGCAGAACAAATTCTGGCTAAACAAGGCCTCTTTGAAAACTTGCTATGCCCTACCCCATAGACATCGTTGTTTCCTATGTTCCACT